TAAAGCCTTTATTTACCTCTGATTTGAGCAACGCATGTGCACTTGGAAAACACAGAGAAAAGAATAAGAAGCAGTCTTTATAATCCCACCACTCAGGAAGGGTATTTGTGAGCATTTTGAATACTGTATTTGAGGATCAGAGGTAAGTAATTTACCCCCCAGCTGGGGGCAGAGAGCTTCTAAAACTGTGTTTCTCCTGTTTGTCCATCCTAAACTTCCAACCCGGTGCTCTGTTAGTGATTTCAATCAACCTTGAGAAAGCGCTCAGTTTGGTGGATGCTTTGCTTTCCAATCCCAGGAATTAGATCAGGTTCCATCTTAGCCTCACCCACTTTTACCCTCAGGTGAGCTGGCTATGGGGAAGAGGCAGGGAATTCTCCTAAAATCTTAAAACTCAAATATTCTCTTCTTTTACCTCAACCCCTCACCATTCTAGTTCCTGCCTTCTCATCCAGACTTCTGGGCGCTGAATTCCTCCAGTTTTTCCTGTCCCTCTGCCTTCTCAGGGGCCATGGTTAATCCTCTGAACTGCTTTCTCACTGTTATCTTTGACTGCCTTTTATCCTGGCTCTTCCTTTTACCTGCCGGGCAAACCTGAAAACTCAGATGCAAGTTTCCATTCACCTTCACTATTCAACTCATGTAGCTTAGTGCTGTTGGAGGGAAGCACGGAAGATACAATTGGAGCCACAACAGATGTGCAGTCTCAGAGGTCAGCCAGGCTTCAGTGCCAGCCACCAATACCTTCCCTTGGTCTCCTGTTCCCCTTAATAATTACCAAGGACATCCTTATTCCATCCTTCTTTCTCTCAGTCTCAGGAGATGACTGGATTCCCTCCTTGGCATCAAGTCTAACTTCTCTATCTCTGCCAGTTGACTCACTTTCTTTAGAAAGCTGCTCCATCAACCACCATCTCTCTTGTATTTTCAGCCTCTGGCTCCCTACTGATGAAAAAACTGTTTTATCAGCCTATTCCCCAACCTATATTCCCTTCCAGTTAACCATCCAATTGTTCTCCCTTCTTCAGGGCCAAACGTTTGTTTAGGCATTATTTCAAACACACCGACACAATGCAGAGGATCATGCAACAAACAAGCAAATTTAGCAAATGTCCACATTTCTTGATAGAAAAAAAATGCCTCAGGAAAAAACTGAAAAGATTTGTCTACACAGCTATTTCTACTTCCATCCCTCCACTCACTTCTCAATCCATTGCAGTGTGGATTCTGCTTCCACCACTCTCCGACTCTACTGAAATCATTCACGACTTTCATTTAAATTGTAGGTGCGGGCAAGCCTGTGGCAGAGTGGTTGGGTTTGTCACGCTCTGCTTTGGCAGCCCGGGTTTTCGGGTTCGGATCCTGGGCACAGATCTACAGCACTCATCAGTGGCCACGCTGTGTCAGCAACACAAAAAATAGAGGAAGATTGGCACAGATGTTAGCTCAGGGCCAATCTTCCTCAGCAAAACAAACAAAAAACGAAACAAAACAAAAATAAATAAAATGTAGGTGCTGCCCAAGGTTCAATTCCCAGATCACTACCCTTTGAAAAAAATGCTACATCAGTGTTTTTCAAATTGCTGAGGTCCTCAAATCCATTTAGTGTGTCACTGCTGGCATTTAAAATATATATATAAGGATGTGCAGCTATGACATACAACTATCTACTGGGGCTTTGGGGGAAAAAAATAAAATAAATAAATAAAGAAAGAAAGAAAGAAAGAAAATAAATAAAATATATATAACATATATGTGATATAAAATATATAATATATAATAAAGTGCAGATTGTTTCATGAATCTTTTATTTCAATTGTAAATAATGTGTATACTGAGTCACATTGCAAAATGTATTTCTTATGTGAGTTGTGGTCAAAACACTTGAAAGACATCGTTCTAAATTAGTGGTCTTCAAAATTTTGTTTGCATAAGTTTATCACTGTAAGTTTAATTAGCTGCAGAGGATTTCCAGTGGATTGTAAACAGTAACATTGTTAAATAAAACTAAAAAAAAGATTTCCACTGTAGTGATTTGGTATCTGCCATCATCCATTCAAAAAATACATGAACAAGCTTTCTTTCATAGTTGGAAATTTTATATTATCTCATTTTCTCTTTTAATTTATATTTATTTATTTATTTTTTACCCCCAAAGCCCCAGTAGATAGTTGTATGTCATAGCTGCACATATTTCTAGTTGCTGCATGTGGGACGCGGCCTCAGCATGGCCGGAGAAGCGGCGTGTCTGTGTGCGCCCAGGATCTGAACCCGGGCCGCCAAGCAGCAGAGCGCGCGCACTTAACCGCCAAGCCACGGGGCCGGCCCTCGTTTTCTCTTTAAACTCAGAATTCCATTCCTCTTCCCTCATAACATAAAATGTAATATATATACATATATACACAATACATAGGCAATAGACTTGTGTATATATCTATTTTTACACTAGAAAGTCTATAATACTTCTCTGCAGTAGAAATACATATAAAAGTTGAAATTTTCTTAAAACTTCCTGTGACCATAAGGCTCTAGTGTTAAAATATTTCTTCTTGATTGCATTATCAATTATTAACACACAACTGATCAAATAAATATATTATTCATTTTGATAAACATAAAAAATTAAAATTTTATTGGAGATGCAACTCTTAATGAGACTGAGAATTTATTTTTTCAATTAATCCATGTGTCCATGAATGAATATCACTATTGCTAGAATGAGACAAGTTTAGCATCAATTCTATTCCTATTTCTCATTTTTATAGGTTTAAGAACTGACAATCTGTTTACATAAATAAGCAGATTCCCATCTAGGATTTATTGAATCACTTGAACTCAATTCTTTGAACTCCTTCAAAATTCCATGCCAAATCACATGATCTACCATCAACAATTATTTTTTTAAACTTTAAATTAATTTTAGATTTACAGAAGAGTCACAAAGATAGTTCAAAGAGTTCCCCCATACACCCTTAACCCATCTTCCCCTAATGTTAACATCTTAAAGCATAGTACATTGATCAAAACTAAGAAATTAACATTGCTGTAATACTATTATTTTAACTACAGACTTTACAGATTTCAGTTTTCCCACTAATGTCCATTTTCTGTTCCAGGATACCACACTGCATTTAGTTGTCATGTCCCCTTGGTGTCCTCTAATCTATGAGTTTCTCAGTCTTTCCTTGTTTTTCATGATGTGGACAGTTTTGAAGCATATTTTCTAGAATGTCTCAGTTTAGATTTGGCTGATGTTTTCTCTTGATTAGACTGGGGTTACGGATTTTTGGAAAGAATTCCACAGAGATGAAGTAGCCTTCTTATTGCATCATATCGGGATAAATGATATCAACATGACATTATTGGTGATGTTAACCTTGACCACTTGGTTATGGTGGTGTCTGCCAGTTTCTCCACTGTAAAAATTATTGTTCTTTTCCCACATTCTGTTGTTTAGAAGCAAGTCACTAAGTCCAGCCCCACCCCCGGGGCTCCCCCCAACCCCACCCCGCACCCCCCCACACACACACACACGAGGGGAGGGAGGATTCAAGCTTTACCTCCTGGAGGAAGGAGTATCAAAGATCTTGTGGTCATATGTTAAAACCGCCACTATGACTAATAATTATTTTAGAGGAGATATTTAGTCTGTGCAAATATCCTGTTTCTTCTTAAACCTCTTAGCATTTAGCACCAACAATTTTCTAAGTAATCTATCAGCTGGTAACTCAATTAGATCCTCCTTCAATTTTGTTGAAAACAATTGGGAACCAATTGGGAAATCATATTTCCAACTGTTCTAGTGTCTGGTGTCCCAGAGGTTTATACACCCTGGGGCAATACATCATAGTAAGTTTAAAGATTTTATTTATTTATTTATTTCCCCCTCAAAGCCCCAGTAGATAGTTGTATGTCATAGCTGCACATCCTTCTAGTTGCTGTATGCGGGACGCGGCCTCAGCATGGCCAGAGAAGCGGTGCCTCAGTGTGCGCCCGGGATCCGAACCCAGGTCACCAGCAGCGGAGCACGCACACTTAACCGCTAAGCCACGGGGCCGGCCCCATCATAGTAAGTTTAGATTCAGGATTGCAAAGGGGTATGCCTTTCTTTTGTAAAGTAGGAGAAAAGGTGTATCTTTAGGCAACTTTTTAGGAATTAGAATGTAAACACTGAGTTCCTGAAAACTGTTCTGGCCGGAATAGTTCTAAGGATTTGTATTCTTGAGTTTGAAGACCATGGCTCTGAAAGATTCCACTCACTCCAATGATTTCACCTACCAACATTGCCCTTGATTCTTCTAGTTCTTACCTTTAGTCCATACCTGCTACTTTCTCTAAGGACCAAACTTGACTAAATTAAGCCCAGCACCTGGCTTCCTAACTCTGGGGCTTCATTTTCCTCCTCTCACAACAGTAAGCGGCTTGCAGCTTCTAGAACCCACCTTGCTTCTTACCTCTTCTGCCTGGATACTCCATCCTCATCCCTTCCCCGGCTCTTGCCTGCATAGCTGAGGCTCCGCATTCAGACAGTCGAGGCCCCCATCTCTAGGGGCCACTTAGACACGTGCTCGAAGTGGCAGATCACTAGGGCAGTATAACAAACTACTACTTCTGGGATGGGGCAGGGAGTGCTCGTCTTTCTGGAAGGCGTTTCCCACACTTAACAGAGCCAAACGTTTGCAAAGCACATCACAGCGTCCAAAGCCCGTAGACAGCCGCCGCTCTCAAGGCGCCTGCTCTGCACGATGATTTGGCCACGAAAATGCGCAGCATCCACCCATGGAATGAAGTGAGTCCTGGGGAAATCCAACTAATAACCAAGTCGCCTTCGCCTTCGCCTTCACCTTGCTTTGCCTGTGGCAATCTAACCCCCGAGGCCCCGCCCGCTTCTGCCTGCCTGCCGGCCCGCCCTTAAAGTGGGCCTGGAGCGTGCCTTCCTCAGGCGGCGGTGGACCCACCACAGGGCCTTTACTATTTGAAGGTTACAGAGCAAGTCAGCAACTCGCGCGAGACGGAGATAGTATTCTCGCGAGAAGTCTGGGAGGCGGCAGTGATGGCGGCGGCGGGAACCGGACCCGGACCCGGAGTGGGTACAGGACCCAGCCCCGCGGCGGCCGCAAATGCAACAGCGGCGGAGGAAGGAGAGCCGAAGCCGGTGGTAGCGGTAGCAGCCGCTCCGGCCGGAGAGGGAACATCTGCTGCTCCAGCAGCAGAGCCCGGTTGCGGAGAGGCCGAAAGCGGGTAGGACGTCCTGCGGCCTGAGGAGAACACGGGGAGGGAGGGCCACCCCCTTGCAATCCTGCGGCTCCGGAGCCCTTCTGCCCGCCCCTTCCGAACCTGGGCCCTGAGGCCAACGGCCCGCCCTGCCCGCTCCGGGACTTTAGCCCCGCCCGCCGCTTGGCCCGTCGTCTCTGAACTGTGTCTCAGGTCACGCCCCTTTCCGCACCTTTCCCGGTCTGTGAGCGCCAAGGTTCTTGTCCTATCTCCGGCCCTTGCACCCCGGTAGGGGACTGGTAGCTCGCTCTTGTTGCAGACACTCCTCAAATATCTCGGAGAAGAAACCACTTTGCATATTCAGACTGAGAGAAGTAACGGCTCATATGAAAACAGAGTGGGAGAGCTGCGTCTCTGCGAACCTCCCCCAGCACCAGTTCCATCCCAGATAGACTTATCTATAAGGGCTGATTAGCCAGCCTTCCCTCTGCCCCATGGGCCTGCGTCTGACTTGGCCACATTCTTCCTGACCCCGGGCATCCAGGCGGAGAACAGGCTTGGCTGAAAAAGCCGTAGGAGTGTGAAGTTCAGCTGTACTTTGATCATCATTTTTGGGAATAAGCGTTTTGAGATTTGTCTCTTGAAAATTCTGACTTGAGTGCTTTCATTATCTTACAGGGATGCAAACTCCGTTGATGTAAGTGGTGGTTTGGAGACAGAATCCTCTAATGGAAAAGATACACTAGTAAGTATTTCTTTTTGGACATTTGCAAGGCACAATAGAGTTTGTTTTTTAAGCGAGTCAGAAACACAGTCAGGTCAACTTACTGAAAACTCTGTGAATAGCAGCAGAGCATTGTCTGATATAGTGCTGGAAGGTCAGAGGATGGTGCAAAAAGACCGGGCAGGGTTCCACTCTGTTGTACACAGGGTTGCTGGTAGTTGGAATCTATTCAAGGGCACTGCCAACAACTGACTTGATTCTCTAACTGCTCCATGCTCACAGGAAGGTGCTGGGGATACTTCAGAGGTGATGGACACTCAGACGGGCTCTGTGGATGAAGAGAACGGCCGACAGTTGGGAGAGGTAGAGCTGCAGTGTGGGATATGTACAAAATGGTTCACAGCAGACACCTTTGGCATAGATACCTCGTGAGTATTTTTTATAGTCTTTGTAAGAATCACTCTGTAAAATAGATTTCAACCTGTTCAACAGTTGGATAGTTTATACACAAATATAAATGCATAGTATTTCCTATGTCTCTCAACCTGTATTCAGTGAGTAGTAGGATGTTGAGTCAGAAATTGTTTTAATAGCCTGCGCGTGTTTTCTACCTACTGAGAGCACAGCCCTAATAGATACAATGATAGGTATTATCCCTGTTTTTGAGCTTACAACCTGGTTGGGAGACAAAAACGTGCAGTTACAAAGCATTGTATAAACAAATTTAAGACAGTATCATTTAAATCTTGTATTGGGTGTTGTGGGTTTTGGGGAAAGTGTTGGTGTATATGGTGGACAAAGTGTGTTGTTTAAAATTTGAAATGGCTAGTGCCTCTTTATGCTTGAGCTATCCTTTTTTTCCTTTTGGCTTCTAACTCACTCCCTTTAGGTATCCTGAGTTCTCTCCTCAGCAAAACCTATTTCCAATTCTTTACCTCTTCTAGGGAATTAAAATCATTTTATGATTGATTGAGAATGAAAGACTTCTTTCCTTATTTTAGGGAGTCGGTCAACAGCTAGCAAGTGAGTGTTACTGACTCACTGTCTGTGGGAATAACTACTGCTGTCTCTCTGTGGTGTTCTTTATGGTCCATAATATACAAATAAATTTAGATAAGACTATCTCAAAATAATGCTGCATTATTAATTCTGAAATTAATCCCCCTTGGGTGGGGTTATGAAGAAATACCTTCCAGTATAATTTGTTGTATGCTTTCTAGTTAAAAAGATAAAGTGGGTTTTAGAAATGCTAATGTTCCAATTAACGTGACTGGTGACCAAGGATAGAATGTTTAAAAAAGAAAGAAAAATACTGAAGGATCAGGAAGAAAGAATTGATCTTGGTAGAAAGATCTGTAGGGAAAATAAGCTAAGCAAAGCTGGTCACTTAGAAAAGACTTAATATCCTGGGCCACTTTGGCCAAGGAGAATTTGTTTCGATGGACAGGGCCTAGGAAGGGAAATTTCCCAGAGAGATAACTTGGAGCAGTCCAGGGAAGAATCAAACCACAGTCCAGAGTTTTGGTAGAGAGCAGTTTGTACCTGAATTTGAGAAGTTACACCTAAAGCCCAGCTAGATGGGACAGATTTTCTGTTACATCTGAGATAGAGGAAGTGAGCTAGCAGGGTATGAAAAAGGCTGCTTTAAACACCCAACTGCGTTTGAATGAAATAATAACTATATACTTACCTATCTCTGGTATGAGGCTTTGCCTCCTATAAGTAAGTTTACCACAACAGGCTGTTTAACAGAAGGGGTTCTAGAGAGAAGTTAAGGTAAGGAAACTCAGTCTTAACATTCACCAGAATGTTCCTTAATTTCTTGAGTGGTGGCCATAGACACATACTTAGGAACCTTCTCTTTGAGGATACCTTTAGCTAGTTCCAGCAGAGTCCAAAATAAACCTGCCTTTATTTTGATTTCTTCTCTTCCAACTTAAACTGGTCTTTTATTTTTCTGTCACTTACTTCTTTTCAAAACTAAGTGCTCCTTATACTTTTCCAGTCATCCAGTACACTCACCACCACACTTCCCTTCTCTAATGCCTCAGTTCCTCAGTTATGTCCTTGGTCCCTGCCATATTTAGTCTCTCCCTCCACTGGCTTCTTCCTCTCTGCCTTCAAACGGACAAGTCTTTTCTTGCCTGGAACTCACCTCTTAGGAGATTTCCTCTTCATGGTACAAGCAGTCTTAGAGATTAGAACTCCTTTCACTTCCTACCACCCTCCCATCTAATCAGTCACCAAGCTTTACCAGTTTTTTTTCTTCTTATGCACTTCTTCTCCTTTCCGTTGTATTAATATCAATCTAGGTGTGGCTTTTTTTACGTTCTGTGGGAACTGTTACAAAAGGCTCTTATATACATCGCTTTTTCTAATCTCTTCCCCCCTTCAGCCCCATCTTGTCGCTAAACTTATCATTTTAACCATGTCTCTTTTCCTTCAAGGAGTTCCTGTTACCCACAGAAAAAATCCAATTCCATCTGGCATGTAAGGCCTTCTTGTACTTCCTGCCTTTCAAGCCTTATTTTTTACCATATGCCTGACAAATCTTCTCTCCTAGGCAAACTTGTTTACACCACTTTGCCCCTCTGCCCCCTAGTTGAGCTTTCTCACCTCTACACATAGTTCTCTTGTGGAAAAGAAAACCAACTCATCTTTGCAAATCCAGTTCATAATTTACATCCTCGAAAAATCTTTCCCAACTCTTAAATCTGAAGTTACTACTTGGATCCTTTAACTCTTACAGACTAATTATCGTCTGTAGGATTCATTTGGTAATGAGGCAAGTAATGTTTTGTGACTTGTGTTGTCTTCTTGAATAATTATTTATATTTTAAATTAATTTTTTCATACCTTCTCTCTGCCCTTTCCAACAATGTTATCGGCACTTTAAAGACATATTTAAAGATATTTAAATATAATTCAAATACAAATATTTAAATATAAAGATATTGAAAGAGACTGCTGTGTCTTCTTCCATGCTCTTCCATAAAGAGTATGGCCTGGCATGCTCTTTTTAGGTGCTCAACAACTGCACTAATCTAGCCTGGACAAGATGCCAGATGCTGAATTATCCACTGTAGTGGACAAGGTCTTATTAAATATTTGTGACAGGAAAATCCAGCTATTTATAAAGGTATGAGCCCAGTTTTGGTTTTGGTGACCTTTTTAAGTTTTAAGAGTATATTAATATATTAACATGATTATCTAACTTTCACAGAGGGGCAAAGTCCCTGTAGATTTACTTCTCATAAAGAAGTATGTGTTCAGCAGTTCACTAATGTGTATAATTTGGCTCTTCTACAGATCCTGCCTACCTTTCATGACCAACTACAGTTTTCACTGTAATGTGTGCCATCATAGTGGGAATACCTATTTCCTCCGGAAGCAAGCAAGTAAGAACAAACTCTGGAGTACTGCAGAAGGATCGTACTCTGGTTAGCTGAAAAGGAAAAGGAACTTGGGCTTAGCAGAGTCAGGATCTGGTAGCTGGTAGAAGTTACGTTGGGCTTTAGCTCTCAGTAATTGCTATTGTCCATTTCAGATCAAATGATGACTCTACTTTTCGCTGCTGTAGTTGTTAATTTGTGGACTATCTAGTTGACTATTGTTTTGATAATAGGGATATAATACTATAGATAACTTTTTTTTTTCCTCTTTGTTTTTGATAGACTTGAAGGAAATGTGCCTTAGTGCTTTGGCCAACCTAACGTGGCAGTCCCGAACACAGGATGAACATCCAAAAACCATGTTCTCCAAAGATAAGGTAGAGATGGAATTAATGTTAATACAGTTATGCCAAAGAATCAGGTGGAACTTCTAAATCCTTTCTTTAACAATAAGTACTTTCCCCCCAATTTTTAGGAGTATATGACTGTAGGTTCAGTGGTCACTTTGTTCTTTTTTTCATATAATTTACTAACTTCCTAGTGTATGCACATTGTGTCAGTTGGCTGTTAGTAGGATGAATCCTTAAATAGCTTTAGTTGGCTTTATGGAAGCAAACAACTGTCCATCTCACAGTTAATAATCAGATCTTGAGGTGAACCGTCTCAGCCTGGTTTAGCAGTTTTTATAGATGCCTATCGTAGATTTTGTCGGGGGTAAAGGCGTCAGTTTATACATGCCTTTTATTAAAAAGAATTATCCTTGGGCCGGCCCCGTGGCTTAGCGGTGAAGTGCGCGGGCTCTGCTGCTGGCGGCCCGGGTTCGGATCCCGGGCGTGCAGTGACGCACCGCTTCTCTGGCCATGCTGAGGCCGCGTCCCACATACAGCAACTAGAAGGATGTGCAGCTATGACATACAACTATCCACTGGGGCTTTGGGGGAAAAATTAAAAATAAATAAATAAATAAAATAAAAAAAAGAATTATCCTTTATTATTAAACTGGAAAACTACGTGACTAAAGTCAGGACTCAAAATTAGATGACTGGGCCATCCATGAGTCTTTCCTACTGTGATTTCATGGTAAGAAGTATGAAAATTAAGTAAATTTTAAAATGATGGAATTTATATTGTGGCCTAGTATATATATTCATATCTACCCATTTTCATTTAAAACAAAAGTTTCACTAAACACTGCTTACCCTCTGATCTTTTCCCTCTGCACTCTGATATTTTCTGTTCTAGTCAAGGCTAGTTTTGATCTACAAAATTGATTTTATAACCTTCTAATTGATTGTGAGCTACAGTTTGAAAGACACTGGTAGAGGATGTGTAGTGAGATCGATTTAGTCAGGGTCAGACTGGCAAGGGCCTTTTCTACTAAACAGAGAGGTTAGGACTTAATCTTGTAAGCTGGAGGAGTCAGCAGAGGATCCCCTTTCCTGCTTTTCTTCCTGCATTAAAAGTACTTTCGGGGCTGGCCCTGTGGTGTAGTGGTTAAGTTTGGCACATTCTGCTTTTGCAGCCCAGGTTGGCAGGTTCAGATCCCAGGCCCAGACCTACACTACTTGTCAGCCACGCTGTGGTGGCGACCCACATATAAAGTAGAGGAAAATTGGCACAGGTGTTAGCTCAGGGCTAATCTTCCTCAAGCAAAAAAAAAAATGAGAAAGATTGGCAACAGGTGTTAGCTCAGGGCTAATCTTCCTCAGCAAAAAATAAAGTGCTTTAAATAGAGGTGTGCTGTGATTAGAATTGTTTCTTTTCTCTTAGTTTATTTTTTTCCCAAATTATTATTTTGAATTTTCCAAACATACAGAAAAATTCAAATAGTACAATGAACATCTATTTATTCTTTACCTAGATTTACCACTTGTTAGTATTTTGCTTTATCTCCCCATATCTATATTTTCCCCCTAAGCTATGAGAGACTAAATTGCAGATATTGTACTTTACCCAATATTCTCCCATAACCACAATATGATGATCATACTCAAAAAATTTAATGTTGATGTGATACAACTATTTAATATATACAGTTTATGTTTTTTACATATAGTGTGTGTGTGTGTGTGTGTGTGTGTATATATATATATATATATATATATATATATATATATATATATATATACATGTTCTCAATATCATTGTCTTAATATCCTTCATAGCTTTTTCCTCCATCTAGAATCCAGTCAAGGATCACACATTACATTTACGTGTAGTGTGTCTTTTGTCTCTAATCTTGAACAGTTCTTTTACTTATTTTACTTTGTTTTTTTTTGGTCTGCTATGACATTTAAAATTTTGAAGGAAAAAAATATTTTCGAAGAGCCTAGACATGTGTTTGGCATGATGCTCTTTGATTTGCATTTATCTGATTGTTTCCTCCTCATTAGGTTCAGGTTAAACATTTTTGGCCAGACTATTATGTAGGTGATGTGTATTTTTGCATGTATCACATCAGGAGGCATAAGATATTGGTTTGTTTTGTTGTTAGTGATCCTAAATTTGACTGGGTAAAGGAGAGGTATCTACCAGATTTCTCCGTTGTAAAGAGACCTTTCTTCTTTGTAATTATTATGTAATATGTGGCACAATACATTGAGATTGTGTGAATGTCTTGTTCTCGTAATCCTTTCAAGCAGTGGTGTTAGCAACCACTGATTATCCTAGCCTGCATCGGTTAATAGAGTGGTCGTTGTAAAACAGAATACATTCATTGGTTGCAATTTTCTGTAGAGTTTTCCCTTCCCGCCATCCTTTCTTCCTTTTTTTTTTAAGTATCACTGTGGATTTGTGGATTTTTATAGTCCATTATTGGATTTCTGATGCTGAGATTTGACCAGTGTAGCCCCGTCCAGGCTGACTCCTGAAACTTTCTGATATGTCCCTATCAGTTTTTCAACTCTTCCTTACTTTCTGGAACAACAAAATATTCCAGGCTGCCCTTGAACTTTCTCTGAGTCAACCCTGGTTCCTTTTAGTAAAGATTTGGTTTTCATAGAACTAACTCTGGTGAACTGTGCAAGAATGGTCTAGAATGGGGAAAGTTGATGCCAGGTCACGCTCAGACATTGTTTTAGTCATGCAAGCAAGAACTGACGAGGACCGTAATTGGTGAGAATTAGAGGAATTCTAATTAGAGAATTAGAATTGGAGGCCTGATTGGTGAGAAATTTATTAAACTTTAAAATTCATTTGGTGATCATATAGATGTGGAGGTTGTACAAGAAGAATCAAGGGATGACTCCATGGTGTCTAGCTTATGATTCTGGGTGATGGGTGATTCTAAGTATTAAGAGCAAGAATAGAAGTCTACAGAGCAGATTTGTGAGGTGAGATACAGAGTTCAGCTTTAGTCATAAGAGATCTGAAGTGCTTGTGGGATGTCCAGATGGCGATGTCTCCAGCAGGTACAAACAGGAGCTCAGGAGAGAGAATAACTTGGGGGTCATCTTCCAGATGCAGCTAAGAGAACAGGTGGCCCCGTGGCTTAGCGGTTAAGTGCGCGCACTCTGCTGCTGGCGGCCCGGGTTCGGATCCCGGGCGCGCACCGACGCACCACTTCTCCAGCCATGCTGAGGCCATGTCCCACATACAGCAACTAGAAGGATGTGCAGCTATGACATACAACTATCTGCTGGGGCTTTGGGGGAAAAAAAAAAAATAAATAAAATTATTAAAAAAAAAAAAGAATGGGGCAGATCTTTTTCCTGCAGCTGGATTGTAAGCCGTTTGTGGCTAAGATTTTTTATATACTTGTTTGAAATTCCCTGCAATGTGTTGTTTGCATGCAATTACGTATTCAGTCATTAAAAGACTAAACATGGATTTTCTCTTGATTCTGACAAGGTCTTTGAAAATGCTGCAGTTTTCTTTCCCTTTTTGTGAGCATAACTTTGAAAGCAACTATAAAAGCCTTAATATATTTCGTTTGAAAAATTAGGATATCATACCCTTTATTGATAAACACTGGGAGTGCATGACGACCAGACAGAGACCTGGAAAAATGACTTGGCCAAATAACATTGTTAAAACGATGGTAAGTAAACTAAAATTGATTAGACTTGACATTTAGAAAACCAGCATTCTGTGTAAGAATTAAATTCTGTTTAGTCTCACTGAAATAATGTGATGTAAAAGTTTTTCCAGAACTGGGAAAGGAAAAAGAGACCATGAGAGCAAGCATGGTCTCTTTTTCCTTTCCCAGTGTTTCCTTCTCACTGAAATAATGTGATGACTAAGAAAATGAGAAAAACTTAGTATTAAATCTTGGAGAGTGAAATGTAGCTAATTGTGAATTTTAACAGTTTTCACGCTCAAAATTAGTAAGTTGCACCTTGTGTCTTAAGTGAACATCATCTGTAGTAGTTTTATATATGACACTGAAACCTTTGTCCACTGCACTTTTGCAAGTATAATTTTGTATTGAAATTGGAGACGATTTTTTTAATTTGATTTGAAAAAAAAACCAAATAACACTGTTCTAAACATTGTTGTCCTTAGAATTAAAGAGAGCACCTGGGGAAAAGTCAACAGCAAGTTGTTCACAGTGCTTATCTCTGGGAGGTGGAGGGTTAGGAGGACTTTGGCTCTCTCTTTCTTAAGTTTCCCTGTTTGGATTTTTTGATGGTCATGTATTAATATTCTAATCAAAGGGAAAAAACAATACTGTCTTTTTGGAGATTACACCTAGGAATTAAGAGTTGGTGATTGATCATCCATTCAGTACTTCTTTTAAGTATAAAATTTCCAGTAATACTAAAATACTGTTTCCTTTTAGAGTAAAGAAAGAGATGTATTCTTGGTAAAGGAACACCCTGATCCAGGGAGTAAGGACCCAGAAGAAGATTACCCCAAATTTGGACTTCTGGATCAGGTACATTAATATGCTTTATATTCTCCTTTCATTTTAAGCCACTTGGGGACAGAGAATCAGATTTTGTTTACATTTGTGTGTTTGCTCCATGTAACATACGGCCATTACATGCCCATAACATGGTGAGCTCCCAGTAAACGGTTATTTGCTACATATAGAAAGAAAGAACACTCACCTTAAACCAGGAGACTTGTTTTAGTTCTCGCTCTTCCCCAAAATATTATAACTTTACGCGTATCATTTTTATCTTTTTTAGCTTTAGTTTCCTCCCTTGTAACACAAATATGCCATTCCAAGTTGTTTCTGATTTTCTTTCCATCTCAAATTCTGCTATTAAAAATATTTGTTATTGCAAAGAAAAATTTGTTTTGAAGAAGAGTTTGTGTTGTGCATCTAGCATAACAGGAATAAGAAAATTTCCCCTCTGGGCCGGCCCTGTGGCTTGGTGGTTAAGTGCGCGCGCTGCGATGCTGGTGGCCCGGGTTCGGATCCCGGGTGCGCATCGAGGCACCACTTCTCCGTC